GAACAGGATTTGTGTGTTATGTTTTATGCGTTAAGTGTTATGTGTTCCGGGCTACGGCCCGATGTAGTATGCCGTATATGTGTTCATGTTAGTTGATGTGTTATGCTATGCCATGTTCAGTCAGTCAGTTCCGGACTTCGGTCCGATGCAGGGGACAAGGTCCCAGTCGGTTCCGGACTTCGGTCCGATGCAGTTAGTTCCGGACTTTGGTCCGATGCAGTTAGTTCCGGACTTCGGTCCGATGCAGGGGACAAGGTCCCAGTCAGTTCCGGACTTCGGTCCGATGCAGTTAGTTCCGGACTTCGGTCCGATGCAGGGGACAAGGTCCCAGTCAGTTCCGGACTTCGGTCCGATGCAGTTTCCGGGCTTCGGTCCGATGCAATGGGCGAGGCCCAATATGTGTTTATATGTTATTGTATGGTATGTGGTAGTTTGGGGGAGCTCACTAAGCTTCGTGCTTACAGTTTCAGTTTTGGTTTCAGGTACTTCCGCAAGCAAAGGGAAGAGCTCGGGGTGATAGCATCGCACACACCACAGCTTAGCTTTTATCCTGGGGATGGTTTTAGTTGTTTTGGATTTGATATAGTATGATACAGTTTTCCGCACAGTATTTTATTATGATTTGGGATACATCGCGTATGTTTTTATGTTATGATACCCATATTATGGTTTTGATTATATTGAAAAACGAAATTTTTAGGTCGTATTTTTGGGTCGTTTCAGCGTGATTGTAACGACTCACAAACCCTAATTAATCCAATGGCACCTGGGTAATCAAAACATTCGTCGTATCGGTATAACAATAAACAAGTCATGTAATTTACGTATTGGGGAATACAGCGGGTTTTCCCGGGAAGTTCAACATTCTCACTTGTGTGACGTATACAAAGTTCAACCCTTAAACATGCTTTGAAAATCAACAAGCATATTTACGGATCTTCACACTTTTTATAAACAAACATTTTTTTTCCAGAAAATATCGGATTTTCTGGGTTTTTCAAATTTCACCAAATCATTTTACCTAGGGCTGTAAACGAACTGAACGTTCGGCGAACCGTTCGTGAACTGTTCGACGGGAAGTTCGTTTAGGTTCATTTATTTAATAAATGAACGAACACGAACAAAAGTTATCGTTCGTTAAATTAAATGAACGAACATGAACAATGGTCTCATTCGTTCATTTATGTTTGTGAACGTTTGTTTATGATGTTCGTTTATGTTCGTTTGTTTAAGTTTATTTATATTCATTTATATTTAATTTTTTTTATAATATTGCTATATTATATGTTCGTTTATGTTCATATATGTTCAATTGTGTTTTTTTTATCTTTGTTCGTTTATGTTTGTTCGTTTATGTTCGTTTAGCATGTTCACGAACATAAACAAACGAACATGAACAAGATAATTTGATAAACAAATGAACATGAACAAGAATATCTCGTTCGTTTATCTGTTCGTGTTCGTTTGTTGTTCGGCTAACTTAAACGAACGAACATGAACAAGACCTTGTTCGTGTTCGTTTGGTTCGTTTACAACCCTAATTTTACCATAACATTACTTATGAACTCACCAACAATTTATATATTGACGTTTTCGAAAATAACTTGTATTCTCAGGTAACAGGTAAGCCGAAGAATAAGTATCAAGAAATGTCATGGTATTTTGCTTAAATTATCTGTCAGACAGTTTATGTTATGGATTTGTAATGTCTAAAACAATGTACTGAATGTAAACAATATCAGTTGTAATATTCCAATGCATGGTGATGAATTATGTTATGATTAATGTATATTCATTGTGAGGGTATTCAATTTGAGTCACAAGAGCCCTCGGACGTTTATGTTATGGATGTGTAATGTCTAAAACAATGTACTGAATGTAAACAATATCAGTTGTAATATTCCAATGCATGGTGATGAATTATGTTATGATTAGTGTATATTCATTGTGAGGGTATTCAATTTGAGTCACAAGAGCCATCGGACGTTTCCGCCGTCCGGTTCGAGGGTGTGACATTTCGGGAGATTTCTCTAAAAACTAAAAGCAAAAAATTAAGTATTAAAGTTGTGCGATTAAACTACATTCTAAATTAGATGAGGATAAAATTTTCAATTAAATTTAAAAATCAATGGATTATTAAAAAATAACGTAAATTTATCATCTCCCTAGATTGAATAACATGTCCGAAAAAGTAGGGAAATAGACTTATTAAGGTAATTAACTTTTCAGTTTTTTCATATCTGGGTAAGTATTTTTTTTACACATCTAGGTTAAGAACTTTTGGAAGTGTTCAAATATGACAATTATGATCGGTTGTCGTGGGTTACATCCTGTCGTAATGGTCAGATATGAACACTGTCAAAAAGTTCATCTACATGTGTAAAAAAAAAGATAGTTAACCAGATATGAACAAACCGAAAAGATAAGAGTAAATTACATTAATGATCCTTATGGTTTGGGTAATTTGTGTGTTTGGTCCCTTATTTATTTTTTAATTCAAATAATACTTAATATTTTTTTGTGCGTTTGGTTCATATCTTACCTCAAAAGACTATTGTCTCATTTTTAATTTAATTTTTAATTAATTTTCTTATTTATATATTTATTTTTTCTATATTTATTTTTTCTATATTTAAAAAAATTAATAGACCTCGCATATCTGTGCTTCCTCACCCTAAACGCAAAACTACATTTGAAAATTTTAAGTTGCATCTCTCCAATCATCATCGCATCTCTCATCATCTTCAACTTCTATTTCTTTTCCATCTTTAGTGACATCGACGTCTTTACTATTCCGTCTTTTTCGGTCATTCAACTCCGGTGAACCAACACCACAATTCTTCTACTGGGTTGCGGTGGTGTAAATTTCAATAAAGAGACAGTGGGTTGTGGGTGAGGAGATACATATATGTGTGGTCTATTAATTTTTTTTAAATATATATAAAAAATAAATACATAATTAAGAAATTTAATTAAAAAGTAAATTCAAAATGGCACAATAGTCTTTTGAGGTAAGACGTGGACCAAACGCATAACAAAAATAGACAGTAGGGATCATCCGTGTTAAAAAATAAGTTAGAGATCAAACGTACAAATTACCCAAACCATAGGGACCATTCGTGTAATTTACTTTTACCTATTCGGTTTGTTCACATCTGGATAACTATCTTTTTTTGCACACATCTAGATAACCAACTTTTTGGAAGTGTTCACATATAACCATTATGACTGGCTATGACCAGATGTGACCTGCTACAGCCGGTCATAATTGTCGTATGTGAACACTTTCAAAAAATTCATTACCTAGATGTGTACAGAAAAAAAATTATCCATATATGAACAAACCGAAAAATTAATTACCTTAATAAGTCTATTTCCCAAAAAATTAATAATTTAAGCATGGATTGACAGGAAAGCTTAATCTTAGAATTTTTTTCTTTTTATATAAAGCTAAATGTCTTTTTATTTATATTCGAACTTTTAATTATAATAACTTTTTAATTTTATTGATTTAATATATATATATATATATATATATATATATATATATATATATATATATATATATATATATATTAAAGTTGTGATAGATTTCAACAGTAAACTGTTGAAAATCTATCCAACTATGGTCCCTCTAATTTTGTTACCAATTTTCTCTCCATTTTAGTTTAATTAGAGGGGGTTTTTTTGTAAAAATTTTAAACCGCTTTCAACATGTCCAATGCTTGATGCGTTCTTCTCTTTCTACGTGTTTCTCTCTATGATTCCACCTTTCTTTTGTCCAATACAAAACTTCCATATATCTACCACCGACTTCATCTCCATCCTCCAACACTCGCCGTCTCGGATGAGCAACCCCATTTCTTCACCTCACCCTCGCACTGACGATCTCCTCTCCTTCTGCGAAAGAATTCTCTCTAGAAATTCATTAATCAACCATCCGGGGTCGACGTCCCACCGACGGAGACGAGGCAGACGATCACCCCACCCCGACAACTAGTTACAAAGGTGTAGAAGAGGATGCCACCATCGCCACCGCCTCCATCATCGTTGCCATCATCCTAATTCATGAGCCCTAATTTCCCCTTTATCAAAGGTAATTGATATTAATTAGAGATCACCGTCACCGACAGCTTCTTCTCACCTCCTGTTCTTCAATTTTGGTTTATAATTTGTTTGATTAATTGTTTAAATTAGATGGTTTGAATCAAATATATATGGCATTCCTGATATTTCCTTCATCTGCTCCGTCGTCGGCTCTTGATTTCAACCCTTGATTCGGTGAATTCCTCGGCTTCCACGACAAAAACAGGTGACATCGGCCACCCAATGTCAAATTCATCTTCAAACTAAAAAGTATTACTTTTAAATTTAGTTTTCATGCATACAGATGGAATCCATAGGGGAGGTTGGGGATACACTGCGGCGATGGGTTTTTGTTTCTAAGGCTCCATCATAATCTTTATGTATGCTTAGTATTTTTTTTATTGATTTCGTATTAATATGGTACTGGTTTTTGGTCGCATCAGTGGACCGGTGATACATTAAGAGAAGTTAATGCAATGGTTTGGAAGAGGAAACATCTCCGACCATTTGTTGTTGTAGTTGCTGATATGAAGCCTGAAACTTTTCTCAAGGATCTTCACCGATAGAATATGTAAGATTGTTTTCAATGATTGAAGGGATTAGTATTAGTTGTAGACTACGATTGATGAACCAAAATCGTTAGTAGTGTTTCCTTTATTAAGAATCTGTCAAGAGTAAACTTTTTAAACGTTTGTGATGGATTGAGAATCAGTTAGCATGAACTCACCATGTGATTTCAATAATGCTACATAATCTTCAGTAACTTCATTCTATTTGCCCTAAAACATATCCATGTATTTGTTACTTTCATATTGCCATTTTGTTGCCTCAATATATAGAAGACGACCTAATTTTATCTGCTTTTACATTTGACTTCCAGATAAGCAATGATCGTGGAGTAGGTGGAAAATGCTATGGCTTTGTTACTTTCACAAATCCCCGATCTGCAGTTGATGCTATCAATGATATGGATGGAAGGGTATTCATATAAAATTATATTTGGTCACATCTTAATGTCTTTCTTTCTTTTAGCTTTTTCAATCTTCTGAATCGATTGATTTGTTTCAAACTGTTGAGAGAGAAACTATGGTCGTGGTAGAGATAGGTGTAGAGACCTTGATCAAGATAAAGAAAGGGGATATGAGCGTGCATGTGATCTTGATCGGTCTCGCAACCGTTTCATTGATAGAGACACTGACAGAGACAGAGATAGGGTCAGAGACAGGGGACATGAAGGTGATCAAGCATGGGAAAATGATAGGGATCAAGAGAAGGAGATAAGAAGAAGTGACATTCATCATAGGAGTGGAAACAAGTATAAAGATCAAACAACTAAATTGCAAAATGGGTAAGATTACCATTTTACCCTTTTAGCAAAATACTATATTTGTGTTCCCATACCAAATTGATGTATGTTTATGCAGTTCTGATTTCAATGATCGACATAGCAGAGAGCATCCATCGGGGTCAAGTGATGGAGATCATGATCATCATGCTGCAAAACAACTCAACGTTTCACGCCAAAAAATAGAAGAACTTCAGAAAGAGGTTTGAGTTTTTGCTTTTCAAAATGCTTTTATCTATATGATAATGATAATTAATTGTTTTCGTTTAAACAAAAAAATAATAGTTAATTGTGGTGCTTTTTACACAGTATTAGTAAGTTTGTGCTTTATGTTTTACTGACTTGTGTTAATATTAAACTTGCATTTCATAAGTTTATCGAATGGAAGAGCTTGTAGAAGAGAAAGGTGATGATGTATCTAAGCTGCAGGAAAAGTCACAGGTCTTATAATTAACAACCTCATAATAAACAAAAAATTACAATTCTACCCTCCATCAGTTTATCATGATCTTTATTTTTTGTTATAGAAACTAGAGGATGCACTTGCATCTGCTAAAAAAACTCACTTCAAATCGCAAGAAACAGTTGATTAAGGTGATTCCCTTTAATTCCTTTTTTTATTTTTTATTTTTATTTTGGTGTATTCATGTTGTATAATTCTTTTTTTTTTTTGGCATTGCTGGACACATGAAAAAAGACAAGTCCGTTTGGATTTTTCTTGACAATTAACAATACATCCCACATCATGTCTTCTCCAAACATAAACAAAAACATGAAACAAAGCCACTTTCATGGCTCATTCCAGATATTGGTGCACAGGCAATGGCTCAATATTCGTGGAGTTGATTGGTGTTATTACAAGAGGTTGTTTCCACTGATGTGTGTTGCTTGAAATCCGTGTGTTGCTTGAAATCCATGCACCAGCTTCAGCTTCCGGAAGAGAGCAAAAGTAACCTCTTATTTCGCATCTACGTTGGTTAAAAGCAATGACGATAAACGATGCACTAATTTGTATTCCCAATTTCTTATTTATTTTATTGTTTTGTATTGCAGAACTTATGGATCATATTTGTGGCTAAAAGAAACCAAAAAAACATACAGTTGGAAGAAATTTCCGAGAATGATCGATGCCTATAGCATCAATTTACAACCGTTGTCATGGCTTTATAGGACAACTTCTATTTTTATGTAAACAAATGTAAGTATATTGCTATTATGAGAAAAGTATTGTAAGGATGTTGCATTTATGTTTATAGAAATGTAACTACATTGTTACTATAGGTAAAGAAATGAAAAAAAAAAAAATATGACTCGTGCAACGCACGGGATACTTTACTAGTTAAAATAAAATATATGTTAATTGTTTTTATCTTTATTAAATCAATTATGTAAATTATAATATTATCTTATTATTAATATAGTTTTTGTTTATTATGTTTATTATATTTGATTTTATAATTTTTTAGTTGTTTATTATTTATTTACTATTTTATTTGAATATATGATTTAAGGTTTTAATTTAAATTAAGAAAAATATGTTACCATGATTCAAACATGTGTATCAATCAAAAAATGGATTTAAAAATTAAAAAAAAAAAAAAAAGATAACTAACTCATTTTACATCATGGGTCATCAAATATAATATTATCATATCAATTATAATAGAAATATTTCATGTATATATTTATTCATCTTTCATACAGAATACCTCGTCAGAGTACCCTTCATTTACTGTTACTTTACGAAATGGAAACGATTGACAAGCTCATTGGAATATACGTGTGTTAATACCATGATGTCAACCGTAACCGAAGGGGTAACTATAAATTTTGTCTAACCATGCTCAAAATGTTTAATATCATATCAATTTGGAAGCAACCATGATACTCATTTCAATAGCTAGCCAATATTAAATAGGTGCTAATATAGATACACTACTACAAAAAAGTATATAGGACCTGCTAGTTAGGCTTGCACAAAAAAACCAGTGGCCGAACCGAAAACCGGTTCACCCTTGAACTGGTCCACCGTTGAACCGATCCGATGTCGAACCGAACCACCGGTTTGTAGTAATTAGGACTTCTAGCCATTCGAACTGGTTTATGCTGAACCGATCTAGAAAACCGGTTTTGAACTAATTTTGAATCGGTTATGAACCGGTCTTACAAATTAAACATGCATATATTAGTCATGATATCCTAAGAAACAAAGCAAACATTGTAAAAAAGAAGTAATTCCGTCTGATTTTTTTTGAAATGGTTCACCGAACCGGTTTAGGAACCGATTTATGGTGAACCGATTTAAGGTGAATCGGTTTGTACTGAACCGAACCGGTTTGTATAGGTTTGAATTATTTTGGTGGTGAACCGATTTTGACTTCGTTGACCAGAACCGAACTGGTTTTTTGAACCGGTCCGGTTAAAAAAAAACGGTTTGTGCATGCCTAACACCTAATTAGCACCCGGTTTTGAAAACAAAAGATTATATTAGATGAAAATTGGGGCTTTTAATTGACCTGATTTAGAAAAAGTGGTCGGGTTTTATTCTCCTTAGATGACCCATTTTTAGAGTTCATAGGCCCTAGTTCTAACAACCATTCTTTTTTTAGCTCATAAATCAACACCAACCAGGTTTTATAGGACTACATATTAACAACTTTAATATGCTCAACACACTAATTATTCTCAACTAATTTTTTGGAAATCAATATTCTTCTGCTGGTTTCAACAAACTCCTACAATTATAAATTGTTTTCACCATTACCTGTAATACCTGGTTCCTGGTACATATTTAACTTATAATTTATTCTATTTTATAGAGCAACTCGACTAGTTGGGAGCCCCAAACTCGTCGAGAAGAAATCATAAGGGCCGCGTATTTTAAGTGACCTATTCGACGAGTTGGGAGGCCTCAACTCAACGAGTAGGCTGGCAGATAGGGAACCCTAATTTCCGGGATTTACAACCTATTTAAACACCTTAATCCCAAGGTGTTGGCCTCATTTCCAGCCTCCAAGTCCCTAACCCTAAATCTCGAAACCTTAAAGCTACTTGGAGTGATTGTGAGCCATTTTGAGTGTTTTTGGTGTGTGTTGAAGCCATCGGAAGAAGGAAAAGCTTGAAGATACAAGAAGGAGCTTATAGGTTCAGAATCCTTGTCTCATCCACGACACTTTTCTGGTATAAAGCTTGAACATTGCCTTATAGTTCAGTAGATCTCCTTTTAGAATTATTTTGCTTGGTTTTGTCCGAATATCATGGTCCCTGGGAGTTGGACGTCCCAAATGGGTTAACACTTCAGATCTAGGCTCTTAAGGGGTTTTCATGGCATAAAGGTGCCAACTTTATGGCCATGGAAGTCCCATGAAACCTTTAGACCATCATTTTGGCCTGTTGGAGCTTCTAATGGCCATGCATGTAAAGAAATCTGGAAGTTTACGTGATCTTTCGGTCCCTAGAGTCCAGATCTATGACCTTATGGTCTATCTTGTAGTTTTGGTGGTTTTTGGATGAAGAGTTTGGCATTTGTGGGTTAGGGTTTGAGCTTAATCTCTTTAGGAAGGGTATTAATGGGTAAAGTTGGAAACTTTACCCTTTTAGAGGCATTTCCAGTCCAGATCTGGAGCATAGGGTTTAGATCTGAAGAATAAGGGCTTAATGTGTTAAGAAGGGACTAATAAACTAAAAAAATCGACGAGTTCATGGAGGGACTAGATGAGTTGATTGGAAATGTCCTGATTCTGATGAAAAGTAAGAACTCGGCAAGTTGAGGGAAAACTTGATGAGTTGACTCGGGATATCACAATTCTATGATTTATGGAAACTCGTCGAGATGAGGGATAACTCGATGATTTGAGTCAACTCAAAGTGTTGACTTTGACTTTGATCTTGACTTTGACTTTGACCATAGTTGACCCTAAAGGGTTATGAGTATGAAATGGTATCTAAGGGGTTGTTTTGGTTCAAGGAGTGAGTAGAGTTGATTCCAGGACAGAGACGTTTTAGCAATCATCCGACATTGGAAGTGAGTTTTCCTCCTGTTTGGTCGGGTCGAAGGCACCAATGCTAGCCCATATTTATGATTGTATGTAGTCCGGACTAAGGTTCGATGTCGGGAAGTGCTGATGTGTGTTTATATGTTTTCCAGATTACGATCCGATGCCAGGCGATACCCGAGGAATGTTTGTATGATTGATGTCTTCGTGATTCTTGCATGTGTCTATATTTGTATGTTCCAGATTACGGTCTGATGTCAGGCAATGCCCGAGGAATGTTTATATGCTTTCCGGATTACGGTCCGATGCTGGGTGGGGCCCGAGGAATGTTTATATGTTTATGTTATATGATTATTTTATGTGTATTTGTTAATATGATTATATGTATACTGAGTTTTGCTCGATGTCGGGCAGGGCCCGATGCTGGACACTGTCCGATGTCGGGCGGGGCCCACGATATCTTTATAGGTGATTATGTGATTATATGTATGGTATATGGTAGTTTGGGGAAACTCACTAAGCTTCGTGCTTACAATTTTCAATTTTTGTTTCAGGTACTTCTGGTAGTAAAGGGAAGAGCTCGGGATGACTGCATCTCACACACCATGATGTTTTTATCCTGGGATGTTTACTCCAATATATTTGACATATGTTTTGATATGGATATACCGTTTAAGATGTTTTGAGATACTATGACTTATGTTTTGACGAAATGATTTTAAGAGCTATGGTTTATATATGATTTCAAAATGAAATTTTTCGTTCTGAAAATTTTAGGATGTTACATTACCTCCTTACCATTTTTTGCATGTTACTGTATCCTCATCAAGTTTCACATCATTTTCCAAAGGTATGCCGATTACTCTTCTACTTATGTTATTTTGTTTATCTTATAAGTTTCCATTTCTAAGTTTTATTTTGTTAAAGCATTTCTAGTTTTTTGTGTTACAAGATTACCTCTATGCAATCTTTTCACATTACAACTTCACCTTCAGTTTGCATTTCACTTTCAAAGGTAATGTGATTACTCTTTATATATTTTATTAGTTGGAATTTTTAAGTTGTTGTTTTTGTAACATCCTGAACTTCGCAGGTAAATTTCAAACCCCTTCTCTTTTGTAAGTTTCAAATTGTAGCCCTGGGATGTTGAGTTGGGCCATGAGAAGTATAAGGACTGAAGTTGCCACTTTGAGTCAAAAGGGAGTATCCTCAGC